CGCTTGCCAATTTCATTGCAATTCTGGTCTGCGATGATATCGCGCGTCATTGCGAGCGGGATTTTGGTTTTTTTGTCGGGCGTGCCCGAAATTTTTTCCCGAACGTCCAGCGTCAAAATGATTTGACGCGTCCAGCGTCCGGACGCTGGACGCTGCCCTTTCAAGGCGTCAGGCGCAACATAGCTATGAGTCTTAGTTAGGAGCCCCCTCCCACATACTTAGGCACTACTCTGTGAACCCTCGACACCTCGCTGCAGATTCTGTGAGTCCCCACTCAGTCCCCCCCTGCATGTGTAATTCTGTGAGTCTCCCGGAAGACAGCCGTGTGATGTGATGCACTGTGGTGTGATGTGATGCACTGTGGTGTGATGTGATGCACCGTGGTGTGATGTGATGCACTACAGTGTGATGTGATGCACTACAGTGTGATGTGATGCACTGTGGTTGTGATGTGATGCACTGTGGTGTGATGTGATGCACTACAGTGTGATGTGATGCACTACAGTGTGATGTGATGCACTACAGTGTGATGTGATGCACTACAGTGTGATGTGATGCACTACAGTGTGATGTGATGCACTACAGTGTGATGTGATGCACTACAGTGTGATGTGATGCACTACAGTGTGATGTGATGCACTACAGTGTGATGTGATGCACTACAGTGTGATGTGATGCACTACAGTGGATGTGATGCACTACAGTGTGATGTGATGCACTACAGTGTGAGTGTGATGCACTACAGTGTGATGTGATGCACTACAGTGTGATGTGATGCACTAACAGTGTGATGTGATGCACTACAGTGTGATGTGATGCACTACAGTGTGATGTGATGCACTACAGTGTGATGTGATGCACTGCGGGTGTGATGTGGTGCACTGTGGTGTGATGTGATGCAGTGTGGTGCCAGCCAACCTCCCTCCTGCCCAACCTCCCTCATCCCCAATTTCCCTCCTGCCCGCCCGCCCCTGTGCGCCCACCCCTGTGTGTGTCCCCGCACCTGTCCCCATCCCTGCAGCGAGCTGGGCTACAATCAACTCTCAGGCCCGCTGCCTTCCACCCTCGGCCTGCTGCCCTCTCTGCAAGCACTGTACGTGCTGCCACACACCTGCCACTGCAAGCACTGTATGTCCTCCTCTGCCAGCTTCCAGGCAACTTCCAGGCAATTCCCAGGCAGTTCCCAGGCTGCTACCAGGCAGCTGTGTCAGGCACCTGTGAGCAGCTCACCACACATTTTGTTGTCTTGACGTTTTCACGTGCACAGTTACGAATGAAAGGAAATGTAATCTGCACATCCCTCCGCCTCTCTCCCTCTGTCCCTTTCCCCTTCTCATCACCTCCACCTTCTCATCACCTCCACCTTCTCATCACCTCCACCTTCTCATCACCTCCACCTTCCTATCACCTCCACAGGACCTCGACTTACCCATATGGTTGACACCCGCCTCTTTCTCGCACCTTTCCTCCCCCTCTTCTCCCCTTTCAACCTTATCCATTTGCCCACCCCTCCTTCCCACCTATCATCCCACCCACCCACCATCCTTCCCTTCGCTCTCTCCAGCCGCATCCCATCCAGCAACATCACAGGTTCCCCACCGGCCTCTCTCCCGCACCTCTTCTAGCCTCTTCCCCCAATTCAACCTTCTCCCACTCCCCCATCCCTCTCCTTCCACCCCCTCATCCCTTCCTTCCCCTCCTCATTCCTTACAGCCGCATCTCCTTCAGCAACATCACGGGGTCCCTGCCCGCCTCTCTCCTGCGCGCCTTTTCTTGCCTCTCTTCCCCATTCAACTCCCACTCCCCATCCCTCTCTCCTCACCTCCTTATCTCTGCCCCCTCCTCCCTTCCCTCCTCCCCATCCCTTACAGCCGCATCCCATTCAGCAACATCACGGGGTCCCTGCCGGCCTCGCTCTCGCGCCTCTCAGCGCTGAGCTCACTGCGCCTCACACAGAACCTTCTCGCTGGCCCCCTCCCCGCCAACCTCTCAGCACTCACCGCACTAACTGAGCTGTGAGTGATCTTGCACTGCCAGCACTGCCAGCACTGCCAGCACTGCCAGCACTGCCAGCACTACCTGTCTCTCTCGCGCCTCTCCTTGCAGAGCTCGTTGCGACTCACACAGAACCTTCTCGCTGGCCCCCTCCCCCCGCCAACCTCTCAGCACTCACCGCACTTACCGAACTGTGAGTGGGCCTTGGTGCGGCTCACATATAGCCTTCTCTTTGGCCCCTTCCAACTTCTCAGCACTCACCGCACTAACTAATCTGTGAGTGCTTGCCTCTCTCTTGGCGCCTATCCTTGCTGCTGCTCACGGCGAATATTCTCTTTGGCCCCCCTCCCCGCCAATATCCCACCACTCACCGCACTCACTGAGTTGTGAGTGCTCTCACCAGCACTGCCAGCACTGCCAGCAGCACTGTAGGAACTCTTAGTCCTGTCAATCTCTATTGTCCTGTCCACCCCTCTCGCCTTCCCCCACATCTCTCGCCTCCCCCCACTTCTCTCGCATCCCTCCACCCCTCTCGCCTTCCTTCATTATACAGCGTGTTCTCTCCGGTGTCCTTCTGAAGGCCGCGCCTTCTAAGGCTCTCGCGCTCTCTCTCCCTCCTCTGGCAGGAATTTGGCGAAGAATCAGTTGAACGGCTCTTTGCCTGCCTCGTGGGGTGCACTCACCTCACTTGCTGACCTGTGAGTGCCGTTGTGCGCGCGCGTGCGGGCGCGTGTGGATGTGTGTGTGTGTGTGTGTGTGTGTGTGTGTGTGTGCGCTTGTGAGTGTGTGATTGTATGTGTGTGTGAGTGTGGGAGTGTATGTGTGTGTGGGTGGGTGTGTGGGGATGGGTATGGGTAGTGTGTGTGTGTCCCACCTCCCCCCACATGCCCATGTCCTAACACCCCATGACGATGAGCAAGGGGCGAACACGATCGTGTTCGTGTTCGTCCCTGCATGAACAGAGCCGTTTGCCGAACTGATCAGTGTTCAGTTCGGCGAACACTTTTAGCAAAAGCAGATGTTCGGTGTTCGCCTGTGAAGGCGTGTTCGGTGCCCTTGTCCCACCTCCCCCCACCCCACATGCCCTTGTCCCACCTCCCCCCACATGCCACATCCCAACACCCCAACGACCCTACCCACGTCTTCACAACTCCTCATCCCTCGTCCCCCCCCTGTCCCCTTCCCCAGCTCTCACCTTGAGCGGCAAATATCCCTTGCTTCCCCATGCCTACCCCCCCTGCCATCCCTGTCCATCCCCATCCCACCCTGCTCCCCCCTGCCCTCCCATGCTCCGCCCTGCTTCCTCATGCCCCCCTGTGCCACTGCTGCTGACCCCCATGCCCCCCCGCGCTCCCCCCCTGCCGCACCATCTTTCCTCCCTTGCCCCTCCCCCTTTTTCCCACCACCAGCAAGGTGTCAGTGAATGCTCTCAGCGCCACACTGCCAGCCTCGTGGAAAATTCTTGTCTCTCAGGCAGCTGGAGGAGCTTCCCTCCCTACCCCCTCCTTGGTCCCCCTCTCCTTTCCCCCTGCCCACCCTTGCCTCCCCTGCCTTGGTGTCAGTGAACCATCTCAGCGGCACGCTGCCAGCTTCATGGGGAAAGCTCTCGTCGCTCCAGCACCTGGACCTTCCCTAGCCCCCTTTTCCAATCTGCCCAGCCCCCTCCCCACCCCCCTTTGCCTTCCTCCCTGCCCTGCGGTCCTCTGCCCACCCCCCACCCACAAGCACGGTGTTGTCAAATAATCTCAGTGGCACGCTCCTAGCCTCATGGGGCAAACTCCTGTCGCCCCAGCACCTGGTGCTTCCTCCGCCCCTTTGACCTCCATCTCCGACCCGCCCCCTTCCCCACGCTACACCCTCCCTGCCCCTCACCCCCCTCTCCCCCACCAGCGAGGTGTCGGCAAATGCTCTCAGCTCAGCGGCACGCTGCCAGCCTCATGGAGCAAACCCGCGTCGCTCAGGCAGCTGGGGCTTCTCTACCCCATCCCCCTTCCCTGACCCCTGTGCGCCCCCTGCCCCCTCCTGCCCCCTTCCCTGCCCCCTCGTGCCCACACATCAGCAAGGTGTCGGTGAATTCTCTCAGCGGCTCGCTGCCAGCCTCGTGGAGCAAGCTCTCGGCGCTCAGGCAGCTGGCGGCTTCCAGCAACAACATCACAGGGCCCTTCCCCGCCTTCCTGCTCTCGCTACCGAGTATTGAGGAGATGTGAGTGGCTGGAGGGACCAGGGGAGAGGAGTGTGAGTGGTTTAGAGCTCACCTCTTGTCGCTCAGGCAGCTGGCAGCCACCAGCAACAACATCACAGTGCCCTTCCCCTCCTTCCTGCTCTCACTGCCCAACATAGAGGAGATGTAGGTGGTTGCAGCGAATGGGGGAAGGGGGGTGTTTGGGCTGCTGCTGCTGCCGTTGCCGCTGCCGCCCCCCGCTGCCACTGCTGCTGCTGCCGCTGCTGCTGCTGCTGCTGCTGCTGCCGCCGCCGCCGCCGCTGCTGCTGCTGCTGCTGCCGTTGCCGCTGCCGCCCCCACTGCCACTGCTGCTGCTGCTGCTGCTGCTGCTGCTGCCGTCGCCGCCCGCCGCCGCCGCCGCCACCGCTGCGACGATACTCGTTGCTACTGCAGGGGGGAATCTTACCGCTATTCCACACATGCCACCCTTCTGTCGTCCCTCACCATACCTCTGCCTGCATTTCTTCCTGCCTGCCTATGTGCTTCTCCCCCTGCATGCCTGTCTCCCTGCATGCCTGTCTCTCTGCATGCCTGCCTGCCCGCCTGCCTGTCGTCCCGTCTGCCTGTGCATTGCCGCAGCACCCTGAACAGCAACAGCATGTATGGTCCAGTGCCGCCCAACATCACCATCTCTCCCAGCGTCACGACCCTGTGAGTGAGCTTAGCAGCGTCACGACCCTGTGAGTGAGCTTAGCAGCGTCACAAGCCTGTGAGTGACCCCACCGTGACAACCATGCCATGCCATGCATGCCATACCGTGCCATGCCACGCTAACCACACACCCTGGTATGATCTCATCTCCCCAATGGATACCTCCCCATACACCTTTACGTACTGATTACCCAAATGGATACCTTCCCATACCCCCCATACACCTGTATTGATATCGCCCAATGGATACCTCCCCTCCCCATACACCTGTCGTGTCGTGTATTGATCGTAGGGACATCGGGCTCAACTACTTCAACGGCTCCGTCCCGCCTGCTCTGGACCAGCCAGGCTTCATGTGAGTCACCTGGGCATGTCACATGGGCATGTCACATGGGCATGTCACATGGGCATGTCACCTGGGCATGTCACATGGGCATGTCACATGGGCATGTCACCTGGGCATGTCACATGGGCATGTCACATGGGCATGTCACGTGGGCATGTCACATGGGCATGTCACCTGGGCATGTCACCTGGGCATGTCACATGGGCATGTCACCTGGGCATGTCAAATGAGCATTGATATCTCCCCAGGGACTTCGGCTGAACTATTCCAATTTTCAACGGCTCTGTGCCGCCCGCTCTGGACCAGCCCGGCTTCTTGTGAGTCCATGCAGGCAGCCGGGTGGTCACGCAATCAGGCAAGAGCAACAAGGTTATCAGGCAATCAGGTAGTTGGTAACCAGGTAACCAGATTACTGATGGTAGGGATGGTTAGGTAAGCTGGTAGCGGGAAAGGTGTCGATGGACCGTACCATAGGCCTCGTGTTTTGATTGTTTGAGTTGAGTGTTTGAGTGTATGAGTTGAGTGTTTGAGTGTATGAGTTAGGCTGTGGTCAGTTCGTATGTCTTCGGTGCGTTCTCTGCGGTTTTATTTGGTTGGTTGTGTCTCGGTGCGAAATGGTAAACCTCGAAACCGCTTTCCACCTTGTGGAAACCGTCCTGAGCCAGGGAGCATGTGCTGTGAACGTGTGACGTGACTTGACCACGCCCACACCACGCCTTGTGCTCAGCCTTGTGTGGCAGTCTCTTCTGTTGCCCTGATGTCACCCCAAGCAAGTGTCATGTTAGAGCTATCACGCCTTCTTCTGAGCTGCCGTCCATCCTGCTGCTGTCTTCATGTCACTGCTCTAGCTCCCCTCTCCTGGCATAAAATGCCTTCCCTAATTCGTTCCCACTTCCCTCCCTGGGCCAACCTTGTGCGCCCACATCACACCAAACCACACTCCACCTCACCGCACCACACCATGCTCCACCACACCACCACATCAGCTTCGTGGACAACTGTTTCAATGAGACGGGCAGCACCAATCAGAAGCAGCAGAGCAGCTCCACCTGCACCATTTTCTACAACCTGCTCTACCCCCGACCCCCTCCCGGTACGCCCCCCTCCCGGTAAGCCCCCTCCCGGTAAGCCCCCTCCCGGTAAGCCCCCTCCCGGTAAGCCCCCTCCCGGTAAGCCCCCTCCCGGTACGCCCCCTCCCGGTAAGCCCCCTCCCGGTAAGCCCCCTCCCGGTAAGCCCCCTCCCGGTACGCCCCCTCCCGGTAAGCCCCCTCCCGGTAAGCCCCCTCCCGGTAAGCCCCCTCCCGGTACGCCCCCTCCCGGTACGCCCCCTCCCGGTAATCCCCCTCCCAGTACGCCCCCTCCCGGTAAGCCCCCTCCTAGTACACCTCCTTATCATTCAGTTCAGAACGAGCGAAGTGACTTTGAGTCGAATCAGAGCAAGGTGACTTGTGAGTGAGTGTGTCGAATCAGAAGCAGCAGAGCAGCACCACCTTCTACAACCTTCTACCCCCCGCCCCCGCCCCCTCCCGGTACACCCCTTTCCTTCCCCGTACGCCCCAATTCCTTTTCCGTGTACCCTTTTCCCATATGCTCCCGCCCCTTTTCCATATCCTCCGTCCCCTTCCCATATCCTCCGTCCCCTTCCCATATCCTCCGTCCCCTTCCCATATGCTCCGTCCCCTTCCCATATGCTCCGTCCCCTTCCCCAATCCTCCGTCCCCTTCCCATATGCTCCGTCCCCTTCCCATATGCTCTGTCCCCTTCCCATATGCTCTGTCCCCTTCCCATATGCTCCGTCCCCTTCCCATATGCTCCGTCCCCTTCCCATATGCTCCGTCCCCTTCCCCAATCCTCCGTCCCCTTCCCAAATCCTCCGTCCCCTTCCCATATGCTCCGTCCCCTTCCCATATGCTCCATCCCCTTCCCATATGCTCCGTTCCCTTCCCATATGCTCCGTCCCCTTCCCATATTCTCCGTCCCCTTCCCATATGCTCCTGTTAGAAGTGAACCATTGACTTGATTAGGAATGATACGGGCTTACATAGTTGAAGCTAGGGGAGGGGGGGTTGGTTGGGTACCTAGTCAACATTATTGGCCCCCCACCAATAAGTTGGGTTGGAGTATTATTGGGGGGTCCCAATAATGTTGGCCAAAGGTGGGCCAACATTATTGGGGGGGGGGCAATAATCTCCCAACCCAACCTTGGAGGCCAATAATTGGACCAAGGTTGGGTTCCAACCCCCAACTAGGGTTAACCCTAGTTGTGCACCCAAACATAGTTTGGGTGCCTATCTCTGTCCTAGGGTTTATAGGATCAGTGCAGGATACAGAAGAGTAGTATAATCTAGCAGCTCCGTCCCCTTCCCATATGCCGCTGCTGCTGCTGCTGCTGCTGCTGCTGCTGCTGCTGCTGCTGCTGCTGCTGCTGCTGCTGCTGCTGCTGATGGGGCTAAACTCTCTTGCTTCCCTTCACGCCCTTCTGCAGCCCCACCATCCCAGGCGGTGGTAATGCTTCCGTCCTCTGGTGGCGGCGTGCTGCTGCCGGTGCTGCTTCTCCTAACCTCTTTTGCTCCCCTTCCCTCCCCTCGCCTCTGCAGGCCCACCAGTCCAGGAGGTGGTAACAGTGCCATCCTCGTCCTTCCCAATAGCAGCAGTGGTGGTGCCGGTCGTGGTGGTGGTGCTAGTGCTGCTGCTCACTGTCTTCCTCTGGCGGCGCTGGCGCTCTGAAAGGCTCGCACGCATGCTGCGCAAGGAGATTGGCAGTGAGTGGGGAGGGGAGGAGGGGGGCGGAGGGGGTTGGTAAGCTGGGAGCGAGTGGGGGGGAGTACAGTAAAGTAAGGGTATTGAGGTGGGAGGGGGGATGTGGGAGGAGAGAGGGGGGGATGTCTGGGAGAGAGAGTGTGGAGGGTGGTGTCTGCTTGTGTGCGGTAAGGGTTGAGTGATCATGCTGATTGCTCCGCCTGCCACCCTGTGCTGTGCTGTGCCCATTTCCTTCGCCTTTCGGCACTGCAGGCAGCTCACGCGTATTCTCCCTGGCGGAGCTGCGGCGGGCCACCAAGGAGTGGCAGGCGGAGATCGGGCGGGGCGGGTATGGCAGCGTGTACAAGGCGGTGCTCAAGGACAAGACGGTGGTGGCCGTGAAGCGGCTGGACGTGGTGAGAAGGAGTGGGGCGGAATGGGGGGGAGCAAGAGGGAGTGAGACGGAGTGAGGGTGTGAGTGATAGTGAGGTCGGGCGGGGCGGGTATGGCAGCGTGTACAAGGCCGTGCTGAAAGACAAGACGGTGGTGGCTGTGAAGGGGCTGGATGTGGTGGGTGGGAGAGAGTGAGAGGGGGTGAGAGGGAGTGAGAGGGGGTGAGAGGGAGTGAGAGGGGGTGAGAGGGAGTGAGAGGGGGTGAGAGGGAGTGAGAGGGGGTGAGAGGGAGTGAGAGGGGGTGAGAGGGAGTGAGAAGTCCAGTGCCACCTGGTGAATTTCCAGAGCCTCTGTCTTCTAGCGCACCCCCAGCCATGCGCCCTCCCCATCTCAGGTGTCAGACCAGACCAGGGCGACAGGGAGTTCTTCGGGAGGTGTTGTCACTGCCACCTGGTGAATCGCCTGGTCACCTCCATCTGATTTCCCCCCCCTCCCCCTCTCAGGTGTCGGACCAGGGCGACAGGGAGTTCATTCGCGAGGTGGAGCTGCTCTCACGCGTGCACCACCGGCACCTGGTGAATCTCCTGGGCTTCTGTGCGGAGAAGGAGGAGCGTGCGCTCGTGTACGAGTACATGGGGCTGGGGTCGCTGTTCGACCACTTGCACGGTGAGAGCTTGGGCTGGGCTGAGAGGTGCTGGGGCTGGGTGCAGCAGGGTGGGATGGGATGGGGTGGGCTGGGAGCTTGGGCTGGGCTGAGAGGGTACGTGTGGGTGCAGTAGGGTGGGTGTGTGTGTGTGTGTGTGTGAAAGCATGGTGGGTGGGAGGATGGGGTTCGTGATGACTGTGTGTATGGCTGTATAAGAACGGATGGAAACATCTGGTGCATCGGACGGATTGGATGGCGAATTCCCCTCTCCTCTCCCAGGCCCGCATGCCAAAGAGACTCCCGTCTCATGGGACTCACGCATCAAGATCGCCATCCACGTGGTTCTCCTGCTGTTGCCCCTTCCTCGCCCCCCCCACCGCACTCTCCTCTCCCCACCTTTCTCCCAGGCCCGCACGCCAAGGAAACTCCCCTGTCATGGGACTCACGCATCAAGATCGCCATCCACGTGGCGCTCGGCATTGACTATCTGCACTACGGTGCCGACCCGCCTCTCATCCACCGGTGAGACCGTGGAGCAGGGGGGCAGGGGGGGCAGGGGGGCAGGGGGGCAGGAGGGCAGGGGCGCAGGGGGGCAGGGGCGCAGGGGGGCAGGGGCGCAGGGGGGCAGGGGCGCAGGGGGGCAGGGACGCAGGGGGGCAGGGGCGCAGGGGGGGCTGGTCTTCCCACCATTCACTGGTAAGGAATTGAATGTTCCCCACCCCTTTGTGTCGCACCTCTGATTCCCATCCTTGTCCGATTCCCATCCGCGTGTCGCACCTCCGATTCCCATGCCGCTCTGGTCTTGCCAAGGAGCTGCCTGCCTAAGCCCCTCTTCCCTCTGCCATCCCCCTCATCTTTCCCCCATTTGCTTTACCCCAGCGACATCAAGTCAGGCAACATCCTGCTCTCAGAGGACGGTCTAGCCAAGGTAGCAGACCTTGGTCTGTGCAAGGAGGTGCCGGTGGACGTGACGCCAGAGGGCCAGCCTCCTCTCACCACCCCCCCCCCCCCTCTCTCCCTCCCCCCCCCCAGCGATATCAAATCAGGCAACATTCTCCTGTCCGAAGATGGCTTAGCAAAGGTAGCAGACTTCGGGCTGTGCAAGGAGGTGCCGGTGGATGTGACGCCGGAAGGCCAGCCGCAGCTGCTGCCGCCCACCACGGCGGTGCGGGGGTCGTTTGGGTACCTGGATCCCGAGTATGTGAGCACGTCGCTGCTCACCGACAAGAGCGACGTGTACAGCTATGGCGTCGTGCTGCTGGAATTACTCAGTGGCAAGTATGCCATTCACGAGAAGCAGCCTCTCGCATACTGGGTGAGTGGGAACACATGACGTTACGTTATTGGTTGGTCCCCACTAATAACGCCAAGGAAACCCCTCTCTCATGGGATCCTCACCGCCTCCTCACCTCACCACGCCCGTCCCCATCTGCCTTCCCATGCGCGAGCTGCACTCCTCACAGTTCACTGTGTCCATCTATCCTCCCTAGTATGCTTGCCCTGTTGCTTCTGTCTTTGTGCCTCCAATACCTTTGTTCCTCTGCCTGTGTTGTTCCTCTGCCTGTGTTGTTCCTCTGCCTGTGCCGTTCCTCTGCCTGTGCTGTTCCTCTGCCTGTGTTGTTCCTCTGCCTGTGTTGTTCCTCTGCCTGTGCTGTTCCTCTGCCTGTGTTGTTCCTCTGCCTGTGTTGTTCCTCTGCCTGTGCTGTTCCTCTGCCTGTGCTGTTCCTCTGCCTGTGTTGTTCCTCTGCCTGTGTTGTTCCTCTGCCTGTGCTGTTCCTCTGCCTGTGCTGTTCCTCTGCCTGTGCTGTTCCTCTGCCTGTGTTGTTCCTCTGCCTGTGTTGTTCCTCTGCCTGTGCTGTTCCTCTGCCTGTGTTGTTCCTCTGCCTGTGTTGTTCCTCTGCCTGTGTTGTTCCTCTGCCTGTGTTGTTCCTCTGCCTGTGTTGTTCCTCTGCCTGTGCTGTTCCTCTGCCTGTGTTGTTCCTCTGCCTGTGCTGTTCCCCTGCCTGTGCTGTTCCTCTGCCTGTGCTGTTCCTCTGCCTGTGCTGTTCCTCTGCCTGTGTTGTTCCTCTGCCTGTGCTGTTCCTCTGCCTGCGTTGTTCCTCTGCCTGTGTTGTTCCTCTGCCTGTGTTGTTCCTCTGCCTGTGTTGTTCCTCTGCCTGTGCTGTTCCTCTGCCTGTGTTGTTCCTCTGCCTGTGTTGTTCCTCTGCCTGTGCTGTTCCTCTGCCTGTGCTGTTCCTCTGCCTGTGCTGTTCCTCTGCCTGTGCTGTTCCTCTGCCTGTGCTGTTCCTCTGCCTGTGTTGTTCCTCTGCCTGTGCTGTTCCTCTGCCTGTGCTGTTCCTCTGCCTGTGCTGTTCCTCTGCATGTGCTGTTCCTCTGCCTGTGCTGTTCCTCTGCCTGTGTTGTTCCTCTGCCTGTGTTGTTCCTCTGCCTGTGCTGTTCCTCTGCCTGTGTTGTTCCTCTGCCTGTGCTGTTCCTCTGCCTGTGCTGTTCCTCTGCCTGTGCTGTTCCTCTGCATGTGCTGTTCCTCTGCCTGTGCTGTTCCTCTGCCTGTGTTGTTCCTCTGCCTGTGTTGTTCCTCTGCCTGTGCTGTTCCTCTGCCTGTGTTGTTCCTCTGCCTGTGCTGTTCCTCTGCCTGTGCTGTTCCTCTGCCTGTGCTGTTCCTCTGCATGTGCTGTTCCTCTGCCTGTGCTGTTCCTCTGCCTGTGTTGTTCCTCTGCCTGTGTTGTTCCTCTGCCTGTGCTGTTCCTCTGCCTGTGTTGTTCCTCTGCCTGTGCTGTTCCTCTGCCTGTGCTGTTCCTCTGCCTGTGCTGTTCCTCTGCCTGTGCTGTTCCTCTGCCTGTGCTGTTCCTCTGCATGTGTTGTTCCTCTGCCTGTGTTGTTCCTCTGCCTGTGTTGTTCCTCTGCCTGTGCTGTTCCTCTGCCTGTGCTGTTCCTCTGCCTGTGCTGTTCCTCTGCCTGTGCTGTTCCTCTGCCTGTGCTGTTCCTCTGCCTGTGCTGTTCCTCTGCCTGTGCTGTTCCTCTGCCTGTGCTGTTCCTCTGCATGTGTTGTTCCTCTGCCTGTGTTGTTCCTCTGCCTGTGTTGTTCCTCTGCCTGTGCTGTTCCTCTGCCTGTGCTGTTCCTCTGCCTGTGTTGTTCCTCTGCCTGTGCTGTTCCTCTGCCTGTGCTGTTCCTCTGCCTGTGTTGTTCCTCTGCCTGTGCTGTTCCTCTGCCTGTGTTGTTCCTCTGCCTGTGTTGTTCCTCTGCCTGTGCTGTTCCTCTGCCTGTGCTGTTCCTCTGCCTGTGTTGTTCCTCTTCCTGTGCTGTTCCTCTGCCTGTGCTGTTCCTCTGCCTGTGTTGTTCCTCTGCCTGTGCTGTTCCTCTGCCTGTGTTGTTCCTCTGCCTGTGCTGTTCCTCTGCCTGTGTTGTTCCTCTGCCTGTGTTGTTCCTCTGCCTGTGCTGTTCCTCTGCCTGTGGTTGTTCCGCTGGCCGTGCCTCCCAATCCCCTCCCCCACCCTTCTCTCCCCCTTGTATGTGCCTCCCAATCCACCAGGCGGAGGAGTACCTAACAGACAGCGAGCGCCTGGGGGAGCTGCTGGGCCTGTCTGAAGCCAATAGCCTTTCCACCCGCCTGCCATGTCTGTTGCCTTTTATTGTGCCCGTGCCACCCACCAGGCGGAGGAGTATCTGATGGACAGCGAGCGCCTGGTGGAGCTGCTGGACCCGGCGCTGGGCAGCGACTACGACCTGCATGAGGCGCAGATTCTGTGTGACATCGCCAGGAGCTGCGTGCAGGTGAGAGTAGCATGTGTACCAGTGAGAGGGTAGCGTGCTTGTTGTTCGGGTGAGAGCAGCATGTGTGTGTATAGATAGAGTCACGGTCAGTGACTACGACCTGCATAAGGCGCAGATTCTGTGTGACATTGTGAGGAGCTGCATGCAGGTGAGCAGCAGATTCCACCCTTGAATTCCACCCTTGAATTCCACCCTTGAATCCGGCACTCATTTTGATGCCACACTCAATCTCTCGGCCTCTTCCCCCTTTCCATCCTCCACCTCTCCCCCCATTCCCCCCACCCCTCCGTACCGCGCAGGACCGTTCGGCGGACCGGCCAGCCATCAGGGACGTGGCGCAGGCGCTGGTGGAGCATCTGGGGCGCGTGGTGGTGATGGCCTCCTCCACCGCCTCCTCCGAGTACAGCTATGGCTACTCCTATGATGACTATGGCTCGCAGCAGCCTTTCTTTTCGGGCAGCCTGCCCGACACCTCAGGCAGCTACACGGGGGATTCGCCAGGGAATCCGGTTGCTGGTGGTGGTGCGAATGGTGGTGCGGGTGGGAAGGCTGGGAATGGTGGGACGGGGGATGGGTTCACGTTTCGGAATTGCCAGTCACAGCCAATCATCATCGCGCGTGCGGGTGGGGGAGTGGAGGGGAGTGGGGAGGACGGGGGAGGGGAGGGGGATGGGGGAGCGGGGAGTGTGCAGATGTCAACGGGTGTGCATGGCAACAGGCCTCCTGTGCCCATTGGGGCGCATGAGGGCACGGTGTGAGGGGCCTTTAGGGACATTCCTTCCTTCCATGTGATGTGTGCTATGGGGGGTCGATGTTTGTTACAGTAGGGTTTAGTGCAGGGGAAGGTGTAGAAAGGGGCTTGGTCTGTGGTGTTGTGAAATAAGGCTGGGTGTGCCACCTGCAGGCCAAATGGTGCAATTCTGATGTGATGTGAATGTGTCAAAATGTGGTTATATCCGATACAAATTGAGCAAATGGTCGAATTTGTGCAACTGCTGTAGTGTGGTTATATAAATCACCTCCTGTAGGTAGTGAACTTCCTGTAATCATATTATTCACCTCCTGCTTATCTTTGCCTTGTTTCCCAAACCCTTTGGTGAAGTGAAACACCTCCTTCCTTCATTTTCCCCTCGCCAACTTTCCTCCTCCCATGGATCTCCTTGTCAAAGTACTGTACGTACACCGAAATGAGCATGACTAGCAAGAGATGGGTACATATCGTTGGAAACATATAGTTCGCGCTTCTGGTGTGTCGAGCACTACAACGAAAGCGAAGCGAACTAAAGTGAAGCAACAGCGAGTCAATCAAAGCGGTTGACCAAAAGACAACAGCAAGAGGTTGAGTGAAGGTCAAAGGTCAGCGACCTTTGACTCGCCGAAGGCAGCGTGACAGCAAGGACACATAGCTAACTCGATACTACTGAGCAGTTACCCGAGTCGTCGCTGTATCAAACCGCAACAGCAGTTACAGTTAGTTAAACCTTTCGTATTCCTTGTAATCATATTAAAGCTTGTATCTCTTTGTTATTATCAAGTTATCTTGTTCTCACACACCGTCATCACCCGGATATACCCCCAGGCCTATGTTACACCCATGCGGTTATAATCGTACTAGTGGGCTTATAGCCGGTTGCCGATTATAAGCCCACCCCAAGTTGTGTCAATCTTCGTATAAGCGCACCCAATGAATTCTGGTGTTTTTTTGTAGCGAAATCACCACTAACGCGCCTAAACGAATCGTCACAGACGTGCCTGACGAAATCCCCCCTGGCTCGCTTGGCAAAATTGCCACAGGAGGTGCACGTGCGCGAAATCTGCAACATTTGAGCAGGTGCTGACTCGGATTCTTGACTGTACGACACATTCTCGGAACTTTTCAGCAGCGATCCTCTTTGTGTAAGCATCGATTTAAATCGCCAGGGTGAAATCTGCATTCCAGTGTTATAAAATCAAAATTCCATAAGTGTCATTTATTTAGCCCATGGGGTTATAAAATTTACCACATTATAAGCCCACCCACCATTTTTCCAGGTTTTTTTACACCCCCACCTGGGGGTATATCCGGGTGATGACGGTACTAGTGCAAGGTGGTTCAATCAGTTCACTAATACGCTTCCGCTAAAACATCACTACTCTAAGCCTCTAGTCTTGAAAAACGATCCTAAGGGCTTTTCTCAGCCCAACATGGTATGAGAGCTAGCAAGACAAAAAGACAACTGTGTTCAAGCTCCTACAACAACGGAAGGCATGGCTACGCAGAAAGAGAGAAGCTCGGCTCGTCTACTGGATCTCCAAGTAACTCCTACTCCACCACCAGCCTTTGGATTTCAGACAGAGAGAGGCACAACCCAAGTACCAGCTGCTGAGCCTACTGAAACTCCAGCCAGTCAAGCTACCGGCTTCGACCCAAGCATGATGGAGAAGTTCTTCTCCTTCATGTCGCTCTACGAGCAACACCAACAAGCAGAACCTGCGCAGTCAAACAACAGCGATAACAACAACAGAGTCACTCCCATGAGCCTCGACGGTTCATCATTTGCGCGCGGAAATCAGCAGCCTACCTTCGCACCGTATGAGCATCAACGCGGCTCTGTCAGCTTCATGCCGAATCGACTCTGGACGAGAAACGAAGACACTGGACGCACTTCAGTTGCAGTCACAGTTTGCGAACGTTCTGAAACTGCAAACAACGCCATTCGACGGCAAAGATTTCTATACCTGGTCCTTTGAGTTCGAGCTTATGATGGAGGGCGCCCAAATCCTTGGCTTCTTCGACGGTTCCCTGCCATATCCAACGCATGGGACATAGTACGACAAGCAGCAGTACACGTATCAGTCACTCATGGCGTACACCATCCTCCTGCAAAACTTAACGCCAAACGAGCAAAAGAACATGCGGTCTTATCGCGGATACGGTAACTCCGCCAAGCTCGCATTCAACCACCTGAAGAATCTATACCAAGCAACCGACAGCGTTAATCAAAGTCGTCTCATGGCGCAATTGACAACAATTCAAATGCAACCGGGTGAAAAGGGGATGGCATATATCAGTCGATGTCGCGGATTGCGCGATAGACTCCTTCAATGCGGCGGATCAATATCCGAAGAAGCGTTCGTCACTGTCGTCATCACATGCCTCTGTCCTCAGTGGCCCTCCACTCGAGCTATTCTCTGAGCTCACGGAAGAATCTCCGAAGCAAACCTTTGCGCTAAAATCTACGCCGAGCAACAGGACATGGACCTACACGAAGAACGTCACAAGAAGAAGGCATCAGTACCGGAGTTCGCATTTCACATTGAGTGGCGCAACAACAACAACCGACAACACGAGCACCAAGCACGAAGATACGTACCACCGTTCTGTCATCTCTGTAAAATGTCAGGACACTCTCGCATTCACTGCCCAAATCAACACCAATCAACACCACCACCACGCCAGCTTCGACCTTCAAGCAGTCAGGTGGCTTCCACACAGCCACATCCTTCCAACCAGGTGCCGCCTTCAACGACGACGTCCCAACCTGCACAAGGACCAAGAAATATCATAAGTTGCATAACAAGAACAGACTCTTGCATCACCGGATCACCACCGACCTACTCACCAGAAGAACTGCTCGACGAAAGCACGCCTCGTCGCGAATCACTGGAACCAAATCCGACGTACACAACTATCGCACAGAGCGAACCATCCGGTCAAGACACTTGGTTCCTGGACAGCTGTTGCGGACAACATATGTGCTCATCAAACCGCTTCGTCCAACGGGAACAACGCCTCAACTGAGATGTTGTGATCACCATCGCCAACAACCAAAATTCTGTGCACATGACGACAAGGAGTAGTTCAACTTCAGTCCCGCGAGACCAACGTCGTCTTACAAATGTCGTAGGTTTTAAATGCAGAAGGACTGGGCTACAACTTATTCATCGTCACCCAGCTCATGGCAAAAGGAATTCATCTTGAAGGCAACAGTACCACTCAAGAATTCAGACTTTACATTGGAAGAGCAATCCTGAAGAACAACGTCTTCGTCCTTGACTTCGTCCCAGATCAAGGAACCGCATACAGCGACGCGATTGTTATCTTCACCACTTGGTCGCACACACCAGATCTTGGTCGGAGGATTCTGGTACTCGCACACCATACCCGAAGCAGAACGAACAAGGGTGTTAGCGGTGATCCAAGAGACATTAGGAGAAGCATCAACATCGGCAGTAGCAGAGACAACAGCAGCAGAGACAGCAACAGCAGAGACAACAGCAGCAGAGACAACAGCAGCGAAGACATCAGCAGAAGCAGCGGCAACGGCAGCAGCAGTGGCAACGGCAACAACACCGACAACGGGAGCAGCAGCGGCAACATCGGCAGAAGCAGAGATAAAGACACCATCATCAACACCCGCTCAGCAGCTGAATCCTGCCCCACGCAACGTTCACCAAAGCGCCAACATCACTGCCAGTTTTTACTCCAACTCCGATATGTACAGACGTTCACCTGGACATCGCGCTGACGAATCATTATGGCATCAAAGGTTAGGGCATCCTAGCAACACAACACTGAACAACACGATAAAAGCAGGGGTGCTCGATAACGACTCACTACTCCTACCCGACGGCAGAGAACTTCAACGAGTCCGCGGAACCTGCTTTACCACCCTTGAAGCCAACTTACCCCATCAGCCGTTTGTCTCTCTTCACAACCCAAGCGCGCTAGCCTATGCACCGCTGGAGAAGGTTTACAGCAACATACTGTACGCCCGCGAAAGCGGACAAGGAGCCTACAACCATGTCATCACCTTCATCGACGCCGCCACTAGATACGTCTGGCACCTCAATCTTCCGAGTCGCGACATGGCCCTCGAAGCCTTCGTCGCATGGCTTCCAGTAGGAGAAAGGGAATCAGGAGTGAAGCTGAAAAGCTTCCACTCAGACAGGGGAGGAGGATTTCAGTCACAACGGTTCAAGCAGTACATGGCGGAGAGGGGCATCAAGCGACTCATCTACGCAAAGTGAAAAAACCCTACAACGCATAGAAAATATTCGACGTCCACTCAAAGGAAACAGTAGCAGCACGTGACGTGATTTTCTAAGAACAACTCACTGTCCAAACGTACCTGGACAACTTGGAAGCAGAACGAGACCTCACGGACGGCTTCCGTGGCAACCGAGCCTTCGCCACACTAGCCGATGAGGCTCACTGGGATGAGCAAAACGTGGACGGAGCATCCGAGGAAGCTGGATCCCTTCCTTACTGCTCAGTACCAATTCCGATGGACGACGAAAATTCTCGCGAAAGCGTCAACGCCAGAGTCTACTACGACTTCACCAACAATGGTTACGTTGCACCCCAGCCGGTCAACACCAAAGTTTCGGAACGCATAGGTCCCAACTTTCTTACCTAATCCAGAAGCGGGAGACGAACCAGTCTATCCCGAGGACCCAAATCTCCCTCGCTACACACAGAGTGGGCTGCAGATAATCGGACTCGTCACCACCGTCCACGTAGCATCACCTGTAAAGAATGAAACGAGAGAATGATTGAACTATGAAAGAGTTGGGTACAAGTACTAACCCTAATTGGGCTGTACCCCTTATGGGCTACCCCACTACAGCCTATACAAATGTATAAGCTATAATGTTCTGACACACCCCCATAGGCAAAGTGGGGGAGAACAAGTGGTCACAAGACCAGTCAAGCAAAGCAAAGCAAGCTCAGGGTGGATCACAAAGTCACCACACACTCCGAGCACAAGAGTAAAGCCACAAGGCAAGTTCACATGCAGGATCATATATATAAAGGTAAACAAGCAAGTGCAGGTATAGAAAGAGTACAGTACAAACAAGATCAAGAAGTGAGCAAGTGAGGCCAGGTGGGAACAACACCTAGCAAAGTACAGAAGCGCTGATGATCACAAGGCAGAAGGGACTTGGTGAAGATATCAGCAGTGTTGGCCTCAGAGGCCACATAGGTGAGGCGGAGCTGACCACGCTGCTGCACCTCACAAGCCAGGAAGTAGCGGAGAGCAATGTGCTTCGTTCTGTGCTCCAGTCTGTGCTCCCGACACAAAACCAGCATGGCCTTGTTGTCTACGTACAGAACTGGAGAGAACGAGGCGGCTCTCCTAGGTCAGTCAGCAGGTAGGTGAGCCAGCGTAGCTCCTATGCAGCCATGGCCCCTGTGTAGATACCAGCCTCACAGCTGGAGCTGAGAATAGAAGACGAGCGGGTAGACCGCCACGAAATAGAGCCGGAGCCAAGGTTGAAGGTGTAACCATGTGACGACCGCTGCAGAGCCTCGTCGTCAGCCCAAGAAGAGTCACCGTGACATGTGAGGACCACTCGACGTCGCCCTCCAAGCACTAGCCCCATGCCCCACGTACTGCACACGTAGCGCAACACCCTCTTCGCTGCATCCATGTGCTATGGTCGGTGTCTCCAAGGAGCAACATAGCGTGCCAAGATGCTAAGAGGGTATGCAAGGTCAGGTCGTGTGCAGGTCATCAGGTATATGAGGCAGCCAACAAGCTCTGGGTACAGGCCACTCGACTCTACGGACTCATCCGAAGGCAGAGCTGAGAGCGAGTGGCGAGTAGACAGAGGAGTGGCCTGAGGCGAGGAGTACGTGAAGACGAAGCGCTGAAGGACCTGCTGCACCATGTGTGACTAAGTCAGGGTAATGGTGCGCTGTGCTCTGTCCCGGGTGATCTACAAGCCAAAGTAGCTGCGCAATTCACCCAGGTCTGTGCACGTGTGTCTCTTCTGCAGCTCGGACTTCACGTGGGCAAGTCTAGCAGTGTCAGCAGTGGCAAAGACCAAGTCGTTGACGTACATGAGGATGTAGAACGGCGGCAGAGAGGTGTCGGTGCGCAGAAACAGCGACGGGTCAGCTGTAGAAGGAGCAAACCCAAGAGCCGCAAGTGTAGTCCTCAGTGTATCGTGGCACTCACGGGGCGCCTGGCGGAGACCGTAGACTGGCCGTCGGAGGCTCCACAGAGTACCAGGAGGAAACGACCAAGTGAAGCTAGGTGGGCGGCGTAGCCAGATCTCCTCGTGCAGGCTGCCCTGGAGGAAAGCTGTGCTGAAGTCAAGAGAGTGAAGCTCGTAGTCACGCTGAGCGGCTATGTGCACCAGCACCCGAAGAGTGGTCATCTTCGTGGTGGGAGAGAAGGTCTGAAAGTAGTCAACTCCCTGCCGCTGACTGAAGCCTTGAGCCACGTAATGCGCCTTGAAGACAGGCGGAGAACCCGACGGCCGCTTCACCCTGAAAATCCACATGCCATTGACGATGTCCGCCCCAAGTGGGGGAACCTCGTCGACGCAGGTGCCTGTGGACTTCCAGGAAGCCATCACTGCGTCCATGGCTGACTGGTAGAGGGGAGGCGGGCTGTAACTATGACTGCGATTGGACAGGCTGTGGACACTCTAAGGAAGGAGAAGGACCAGGAGAGGGCAGGAGACCAAGAACCTGCTCCAGGAGCGGAACAAAGTACGGCCTTGGCCGCTGAGCGCCTCCAGAACCAGCAAGGACGGCACCAGTACCCCCAGCGGCAGCACCAGCGCTAGCAGCACCTCCAGCTCCACCAGCACCAAATCCAGCTCCACCAGCGCCAACTCCAGCACCCCCAGAAGCACCAGGGCCAGCAGCACCACCAGCGCCAACACCCCCAGCAGCTCCAGTTCGAGCAGCACCAACTCCATTAGGACCGTCAGCTCCAGCAGCCTTAGTAGCACCCCCAGACGCACCAGCGCCACTAGAAACACCAGCACCAACACCCCCAGCAGCTCCAGCTCCTGCAGCACTGGTACCGCCAGATGCTTCAGCAGGACCAACTTCAGTAGCCCCAGCAGCACCCCCAGAAGCACCAGCGCCAGTAGAAAGACCAGTGTCAACACCCCCTGCAGCTCCAGCTCCAGTAGCACCAGCACGGTCAGCAGCTCCGGCAGGACCAACTCCAGTAGCCCAAGTAGCACCCCCAGTCGCAGCAGCACGTCTCCAGCAGCGGGAAAACCACTCGCGCAGCTCATGTTGAGAGAGCGGCTCCCGCCTCTACGTAGCACCGCAGGCGGCCACACGAGCAGACCCAGTGCCCCCAAGCTCCGCACCCCCAGGCTCAGCACCCCCAGGCTCAGCACCCCCAGGCTCAGCACCTCCAGTCTCAGCACCCCCAGACTAAGCACCCCCAGACCCGGCACGCGCAGGCTCAGCACCTCTAGCAGCACCAGAGTCAACAGCTACCTCGACAGGCTCGACTGCGTCTACCTGGGACACACCTGACGAGGCAGGACCCTGAGGGGGGAGGGGGTCTACCGAGGGAAGACCTGGCACAAGGAAGAGCGGCGGCGGGGGGAGGGGCGCTGTGCGGTAGGGGAAGAGACGGTAGTAAGGCACCGACTCGTCATAGGTGACGTCCTAGGAGGACAGAACACGAGGCGAGGTGGGGTGGTAAAACTGCCAACTAGGCGCGTCAGGGGGGAAGCCAAGTAAGACGCAAACAACAGCACGGGGGGACAGCTTGTCTGCAGACAAGTCACGGACAAACGCCCGAGATCCCCAGACCCGAAATGCAGACGCATCGCCAACCATCTCGGTCCACCGCAACGCGGGGGAGGTCTCTAGCAAGGAGATCCGAGGCTGAAGGTTGAGCTGATGCGCCGCGTACTCAATCGCAAACGGCCACAGAAAATGGGGGGCAGCCGCATGCATCATGGACGTACAAGCGACGTCCATGACCGTGCCAATGCGGCGCTCAGCAATCCCATTTTGCTGTGGAGAGGCCGGAAGTGTGAAGGTCTGGTGGATGCCCTGTGCACGACAGAAGGCTCCTAGACGGGCAGAGGAAAACTCCCCGCCTCTGTCCGAGTGCAGACGCAGAACAGGAAAGTCCGAGCCGAAACTCTCTTTAAGCTGGAGACAAGCTGCGCGAATCCAGTCGATCAACACCTCAGTGACGTCACCCTTGCTGCGCAAGGGGAAGACTGTGGTGTAACGAGAGTAGTCGTCAACCACCCGCAGAAAGTACCGCTCTCGCTCCTGCCCACTGACGTGGGCTGGGCCCCACACGTCCATGTGGAGAGTCTGCAGCGGAGCCTCTGTTGGAGGAAACTCGGAGGAGTGAGGGGCGGCGCGCTGTCGCCCCTTGACGCAGGGGATGCAGGTAGGGCCAAGCCCCGGAGGTAGGTGAGGGAGAGACCGAGGGAGACCACAGACAAGGACACGGGAGGCCATGCCTCGGAGACGAGGCAAGGAGGGGTGACCAAGGCGGTGGTGCCAAAGGAGAGTCTGGTGGGACAGCAGACGACACGAGCAGGGGGCAGACTCAGGACCAGACCTGGACGCCGCAGCAAACACCTGACTCGACGCAGCTAACTGGGCAGACTCAGCAGCAAGAGGAGACTCAGTAGTAAGGGTGTACAGGCTCGACCCTTGCCGACGGGTGAACGTGGCCAAGTGTCGGCCTGTCCGAGCACACGTGCAGTGGGTCACTCGCCGACTCGCAGGAGTGAACTGGTCAACCCCCCTATTGTGTAGGTCCGCTCCACTCACCAAGTTTGTAGAGAACGAGGGGAGGTAGAGACCAGACAGGGTGCCAGAGGGGGCTCCCGGGCACGGTAGGACAGTGGAGAAGCTAGCAAGGACAGGACCCCCAGAGGGGTCTGCCAGGGAGACTGCAACCGGCCGACTGAGCAGCGTAAGAGTGGTGCGGTCTCGAAAGAAGGAGCGGGACGCACCCGAGTCCTGGGTGAAGGTGTGGAAGGCCTGAGCTGACGTAGTACCTGAGATAGCAGACTCACGAGCACCTGGGGCAGCAGATGCACTGGCACCTGGGGCAGCACACGCACTAGCACCTAGAGCAGCAGCCTCACTAGCACCTAGAGCAGTGGCCTCAATGCCCGGGTCAGGCGGTACACACAGGTAACAGGCACCCTCAACACTACTATCAACAGCATACATGGGAGCAAGAATAGCATCATAGTCAAGATCAAAGATAGCAACCCCGGCCTTAGTCAGATCTCCCCAGCGAGGGATCTCTGACGCCTCAGGGAACTGGCAACGCCACGCGGCCGTCAGGCGACCAAAGCAGCGCTGGGTGGAGTGCGGGCCTCCGCACTGCTCACCAGCGCGGTCGCTGGAACGGAGGACGTAAGCGTAGGTACCAAAACCCCCATCGTGCTGACGCGCAGTGTACCACTCACGAAGTTGCTGAGGGGACAGGGTCACACCACTCCACTCCTGGTGGCGCGGACCCGCTCCACTACCGCCGCCGCCGCCGCCACCGCCGCCTCCACCGCATCCTCCACCTCCGCCACCTCCGCTCCCTCTGCCACCTCCACCGCCTCCGCCTCCTCCACTGCTGCCGCCGCCGCCACCACCCCTGGCACCACTCCCACCACCACCCCCTCCCCCTCCATTGCCTCCACCACCACCTCCACCGCCCCCTCCAGCCCCTCCAGCGCCGTTGCCCCCCTTGCCCTTGCCGGTGCGGCGTCTCCCGCTCTGGGCAGACGCAGCACCGACTGACTCGAAACCAACGAGGTCGGCCACAGCAGCAGAGGCAATAGAGGGCAAGAGGGTGGAGGGAGAACACCCCTCAAAGATGGGGGTGCGAGGGTCACCACGAGAGGCTCCTACAGTGACTATACTCTTCTCTATCGCTAGGAGGGCCTTCTCGAGGAGGTCAACGGTGAGACTGGTGGGGCAAACTGAGAGGAAGTGGTCCATGACTACGCGGAGAGAGTGAGGGAGCCAGGTGACTACGTAGTAGAGGGTGATGTACATGGGGGGGGGGGGGGGGGTCTTGGCACAGAACTCAGCAGGAAGCGCAGTGCGGTAGCGAGTGTCACTAGTGCAGAGGTGCATAATGAGGTCAGCGACAGTGGGAAAGGCAGCAAGGTCAGGGAAGAGGTACGGTAGCATGAGGCGGCTCAATGGAGCAGTGGCAGGGGAAGAGTAGCGTGCAACTACAGCGTCGTACAAGGTCTGAGCACTCTTGTACTGGCTAAAGTGTGCACGGTCAGTGGTCGGTAAGTGGCGGCGCACAGCAAGGCGAGCAGAAGCATCGCGCGTGGCCCGTTGTGAGTGAACAGTGGCATAAGCATGAGCAGCAGGGGCAGGAGAGGCACCAGAAGTGAGGTCAAACAGCGAGAGGCCGTCTGCCCTATCGCACTGTAGGAAAAGCTGCAGATCATCTACCCGGACCTCAAAGTCAACTGCACGACCCTCAGCGTCAAAGGTGAGAACGCTAGGGGAGGCCATAATAGCAGTAGACAGGCAGTAAGTATAGTGGGGCAGGGCAGTGCAGTGGCAGAGACTCTGCTCTTACCAGGCAAGTGGGGCGGTCGGGCGGCTCGGCGACTCGGCGGTCGGGCGGCTCGGCTGCTCAGCGGCTCGGCGGCTTGGCTGCTGGGCGGCTCGGCGGTCGGGCGGCTCGGCTGCTGGGCGGTTCGGCGGTCGGGCGGCTCGGCTGCTGGGCGACTCGGCGGTCGGGCGGCTCGGCTGCTGGGCGGCTCGGCGGTCGGGCGGCTCAGGCGGCGACAGGGCCGTGGAAGGGCGGCGACAGGGCCGCTGAAAGGGCAGCAACAAGCCGCTGAAAGGGCGGCGACCGGCCGCTGAAAGGGCGGGCGACGGGGCCGCTGAAGGGCGGGCGACGGGGCCGTTGTAAGGGCAGGCGGCGATGCCGTGAAAGGGCGGTGACGGGGCCGAAGGGAAGGGCGGCGATGAGGCCGCGTAAGGGGCGGCGCGACGGGGCCGCAAGGGCGGCGTGACAGGGCCGCAAGGGCGGCGTGACGGGGCCGCGTAAGGGGCGGCGCGATGGGGTCGCAAGGGCGGCGCGACGGGGCCGTAAGGGCGGCGCGACGGGGCCGCAAGGGCGGCGCGACGGGGCCGCAAGGGCGGCGTGATAGGGCCACGTAAGGGCGGCGTGACGGGGCCGCAAGGGCGGCACGACGGGGCCGCAAGGGCGGCGCGACGGGGCCGCAAGGGCGGCGCGACGGGGCCGTTAGGGGCCGCTAGAGGCCGCTAGAGGGGATACGACTCGGGGCGCGACTCGGGCAGGGGCCAAGCGTGCTCCGGGCAGGAAAAATAAGTTTGGTGGGCCCTAGTAACAGTTCCCACGAGGGAACCAGCTCTATACCATGTGAAGAATGAAACGAGAGAATGATTGAACTATGGAAGAGTTGGGTACAAGTACTAACCCTATTTGGGTTGTACCCTTTATGGGCTACCCCACTACAGCCTACACAAATGTATAAGCTATAATGTTCTGACATCACTGCCAAAGGAGCCTGCCACAGTTCACCAGGCTCTGGGGGGGGAGCACAGGGAAAAATGGCGCAAAATCATGGACAGGAAATTAAAGGCCTTGGAAGACAGAAACATCTGGAAGATAGTACCCATTGGAGTGGCACGCAACAAAACTTTCTCAGCGGGAAAGTGGGTCTTCCACATGAAGACAAAAGCTGACGGAACAATTGACAAGTTCAAGCCACGATGGGTTGTGCGCGGCTTTGATCAAGAGCACGGACGAGATTTCACCTAGAACTTCGCGCCGATCAGCCGACATACCTCTCTGCGAATCCTTCTCGCAATAGCCACCATGAAGTGGAAGAAGCTCCGTCAAATCGACGTGGCTAACGCATTCCTCTACGCTCCCGTCGACGCTGAGATCTTCGTCGAGCAACCACATGGATCCGACGCAGACCCTAATCAAGTATGTCAGCTGCTAAAGTCCCTGTACGGCTCCGCGGCTGTGGCAGCATTATCTACACGCCTGATTAATCCGCATCGGCTTTCAGCAACTACCACACGACCAGGGCATGTACGGACTCACGAAGGAAGCCGAGTACATCTTGCTGATCGTGTATGTAGACGACCTGCCCTACATAGGCTCCACCGACGGCATCACCAAGTGGTATGAAGGGGAGCTGCAACAGGATCTCTCACTTACGGTTTCTTCTACCGTGACTTGGTACCTTGGAGTCAACATACTCGACGGAGAGAACGCAATCTACCTCAGCGCCCCAAAATACGTCGACACGATTGCCAAACGCACGCCAGCCGTCATCTCCACTCCCTACCGCTACACCGCCGGAAATCACCAAGAAAAATCTAATCTGCTTGGACCTACCGGACTACGAGACTACCAACGAAAACTAGGCTGCCTGCTCTTCGCAGCCGTTACCTGTCGAATGGACCTACCATATTCAGCAAGTCAGCTTGCTACCTACCTCAAGCGGCCCGAAGCAGAGCACATGGCCGAACTCGACCGCACCTTACACTACCTCGTCAGCACACCAACATTGGCCTAACAAACCACAAAACCAGAACAACTACTCCAAAGCTAATCGGCTACGTGGACTGACCACGCAGGCGATTTTGGTAACAGGTGATCACGCACCAGCTACATCTATCAACTCGAGCCCGTCGGTCCTATCTCGTGGGAGTCGAGTAAGCAAGAACTAATTGCTCTCTCCTCTTCTGATGCTGAATACATAGCAATCTGCTCAGCCACCAAGGAAGGACTGTACCTTTGCGAACTACTGAAGAAGCAAAGTTGGCATAGTTACGAAGCTTCTCCCTCTTCTGCGACAACCAATCTGCAATTTGCATAGCAAACAAGAGTGGGTTCGTGAACTGAACGAAGCATATTGCCCTGCGCTATTTCTTCGTGAAGGATGAGATCGAGAAAGGGAGACTCGAGCTATCCTACCGTCCCACGTCCAAGATGGCAGTAGGCTACTTGACCAAGAAACTTGGAAAGCAGAAGTTCGAGTACTGCATGCTGCTGACTAGACAAGGCCACGTCACCAGTAACAAAGGCGACGACACTCGAGAAGCGAAGGGGAGTGTGAGAAAGTTAGAACGAGAATGAAATGACTAAGTGAAAGTTGGGTACAAATACAACCCTAGAAAGCTGTACCCCATATGTGCTACCCCACTATAGCCTACAACAGCTATGTCATACAAATCTGACACACCCCCATAGGCAAAGTGGGGGAGAACAAAGGGTCACAAGACCAGTCAAGCAAAGCAAAGCAAAGCTCAGGGTGGATCACAAAGTCACCACACATTCTGAGCACAAGTTCAAGGCCAGACGGCCAGTTCACATGCAAGAGCACACATATATATACATATAAGGCTAAACAAGCAAAAGCAGGAGTATATATATGTGACAGTACAAGCAAGGTCAAGAAGTGAGCAAGTGAGGCAAGACAGGCACAAGACCAAGATGAGTGTAGAAGCGCTGAAGATCACAAGGCGCAAGTGCCTTGGTGAAGACATCAGCAGTGTTGGCCTCAGAGGCCACGTACGCAAGTCGCAACTAAACACGCTGCTGCAGCTCACGAGCAAGAAAGTAGCGGAGAGCAATGTGCTTCGTTCTATGCTCCAGGCACTGCTCCCGACACAAGGCCAGCATGGCCTTGTTGTCTACGTATAGCACTGGAGGAGAACGAGGCAGATCTCCGAGGTCGGTCAGCAGATAAGTGAGCCAGCGTAGCTCCTGAGCAGCCATGGCTCCGGCGTAGATCTCAGCCTCACAACTCGAGGCGAGAAGAGAAGACGAGCGAGTAGCCCGCCACGAAACAGAGCCAGAACCAAGGCTAAAGGTGTAACCCTGTGACGAACGCTGTGTAGCCTGGTCGTCAGCCCAAGAAGCGTTTGCGTGCCCACTGAGGACCACTTGACTCTGCCCTCCAAGCACTAGCCCCATGCCCGACGTACTGCACAAGTAGCGCAACACCCTCTTCGCTGCAGCCATGTGCTCTGGTCTGTGTCTCCCAGGAGCAACATAGCGTGCAAGAATGCTAAGAGGGTATGCAAGGTCAGGTCGTGTACAGGTCATCAGGTACATGAGGCAGCCAACAAGCTCTGGGTACGGGCCACTCGACTCTACGGACTCATCCGAAGGCAGAGCTGAGAGCGAGTGGCGAGTAGACAGAGGAGTGGCCTGAGGCGAGGAGTACGTGAAGCCGAAGCGCTGAAGGACCTGTTGCACCATGTGTGACTGAGTTAGGGTAATGGTGCGCTGTGCTTTGTCCCGGGGGATCTGCAAGCCAAGGTAGCTGCGCAGTTCACCCACGTCTGTGCACGTGTGTCTCTTCTGCAGCTTGCACTTCACGTGGGCGAGTCCAGCAGTGTCAGCAGTGGCAAAGACCAAGTCGTCGACGTACACAAGGATGTAGAATGGCGGCAGAGAGGTGTCGGTGCGTAGAAACAGCAACGGGTTGGCAGTAGAGGGAGCAAACCCAAGAGCCGCAAGCGTAGTCCTCAATGTGTCGTGCCACTCATGCGGTGCCTAGCAGAGACCGTAGACTGGTCGTCGGAGGCTCCACTGGGTGCCAGGAGGACAAGTCCCAGTGAAGCCAGGTGGATAACGCAGCCAGATCTCCTCGTGCAGGCTACCCTGCAAGAAAGCAGTGCTGAATTCAAGGGAGTGAAGCTCGTAGTCACGCTGAGCGGCTATGTGCACCAGCACCCGAAGAGTGGTCATCTTCGGGGTGGGAGAGAAGGTCTGAAAGTAGTCAACTCCCTGCTGCTGACCGAAGCCACTAGCCACGTACCGCGCGTTGAAGACAGGTGGAGAACCTGGCGGCCGCTTCACCCTGAAGATCCACATGCCACTGACGATGTTCGCCCCAGGTGGGGGAACCGCGTCAACGTAGGTGCCTTTGGACTTCCAAGAAGCCATATCTGCATCCATAGCTGCCTGCCACTGAGAGGAGTAGGGACCCTCTACGGCCTCCGCGTAAGAGCGCGTAGTCGGGATGTCAAGTGCATCCGAGTCTCCCTCAGGGGTAAGCAGTAGCCAAACATTGGAACTCCTCGTGCCTGTCCTCAAGGACGTCCGTGCCAAGAGCACACTCACCCCGACGGACGGAGGACAGACGGACGCAGACTCAGCAACAAGACTAGCAGCGTAGTCTAGACGACAGCGAGCAGCAAAGTCGACGAGCTCTGCAACCAGAGCAGACGCATCAGTAGACTCAAAGGAGGGGTCAGTGACGACATTAGCAAGGAGACGCGTGACAGTAGGACTGGCAGCACGAAGAGAGTCCGACTCTGGGTCGGCAAGGGCAGGAAGAGAGGTCGCAGGAGGAGAAGGCAAAGGGACATGCAGAGGAGCAGTGGACAGACGCAGAGACATCCAGTGCGTGCTAGGGACAAGAGGAGGACGCTGACGCAAACCGCGACCACTAGTGCGAGCTGTACGAACAGGCGCACAGGACGAGACGCAGGCTCACGAGGCTCAGCAAGAGCTCCAGTAGGACCAGTGTAGGGAGGAGGAGCAGGCAGCGGGGAGGCCGGCGGTAACTGTGACAGGGAGTGGACAGGTGGTGGACACTCTAAGGGAGGAGGAAGACCAAGAACCTGCTGAAGGAGCGGAACGAAGTACGGCCGAGGCCGCGCGGCGACTCGAGACACAGCAAGAACAGCACCAGCACCCTCAGCGGCAGCACCAGCACCAACAGCACCTCTAGCTGCAGGACCTCCAGCAGCACCAGCAGCACCCACAGCAGGACCACCGCCAGGACTGAGAACAGTAGCCTTAGCTCCAGCACCAGTCGTACCCGCAGGTCCAGCAGCTCCAGCACTCCCAGGACGAGCACCTCTGGAACCAACGGCACCAGCACCCATTGCAGTCGAAGAAGCTCCAGCTCCAGCAGTACGCCTCCAGCGCCGGGCAAACCACTCGCGCAGCTCCTGTGGAGAGAGTGGCTCCCGCCGAGACAAAGCACTCGAAGAACCTCCAGGCTCAGCATCGCCAGAGGGCACACTAGCAAATCCAGCGGCCCGCGGCTCCGCACCCCTAGGCTCAGCAGCTCGTGACGTAGCACCCCCAGGCTCAGCACCCCCAAGCGAAGGACCCCCAGGCCCAGCACCCCCAGTCGCAGCACCCCCAGGCTCAGCACCCTCAGTCGCAGCACCGCCAGGCTCCGCACCCCCAGTCGCAGCACCCCCACGCTCACCACCCACTCGCGTAGCACCCCCAGAGTCAGCACACCCAGACTCAGCACCCGCACCAGTACCTGAGTCACCAGCAACCTCGACCGGCTTGACTGCATCTACCTGGGACACACCTAAAGGGGCAGGACCCTGAGGGGGGAGGGGGTCTACCGGGGGGGGACCTGGCACAAGGAAGTGCGGTGGCGAGGGGAGGGAAGGAGTGCGGTAGGGGAAGAGGCGGTAGTAGGGGACTGACTCGTGGAACGTGACGTCCTGGGAGGACAGAACACGACGAGAGGTGGGGTGGTAGAACTGCCACCCTGGGGCGTCAGGGGGGAAGCCAAGGAAGACACAGGGAGCAGCACGAGGGGACAGCTTGTCCGCAGACAAGTCGTGGACAAACGCCCGAGATCCCCAGACACGGAACGCAGACGCATCGCGGACCTTCCCCGTCCACAGCAAAGCTGGGGAGGTCTCCGGCATGGAGACCTTGGGGTGAAGGTTGATCTGATGCGCCGCGTACCGAACCGCAAACGGCCACAGAAAATGGGGGGCAGCCGCATGCATCATGGACGTACGAGTAACGTCCATGACCATGCCAATGCGGCGCTCAGCAATCCCATTTCGCTGTGGATTTTCTGGAAGCGTAAAGGTGTGGCGGATGCCTCGCGCATGGCAGTAGGCTCGCAGGAGGCCAGAGGAGAACTCTCCGCCTCTGTCAGAGTGCAGACGCAAAATAGGAAAGTCCGAGCTGAAGCTCCTCCTGAGCTGGAGACGAGCTGCGCGGATCTAGTCCATCAACGACATCGCCCTTGCTGCACAAGGGGAAGACTGTGGTGTATGGCGAGTAGTCGTCAACCACCAGCAGAAAGTAGCGCTCGTGACCCTGTTCACGGACGCGGGCCGGGCCCCACACGTCCATGTGAAGCGTCTGCAGCGGGGCCTCTATCGGAGGAAACTGAGAGGAGTGAGGGGCAGCCCGGAGCCGCCCCTCGACACAGGGGACGCATGAGGGACCAGGCCCCGGAGGAAGGGGAGGGAGAGACCGGGAAAGACCAGAGACAAGGACATGGGAAGCCATGCCTCGGAGACGAGGCATGGAGGGGTGACCAAGACGGTGGTGCCACAGGAGAGATTGGTGAGACAGGAGGCGACACGAGCAGGGGGCAGACTCAGGACCAAACCTGGACGCTGCAGCAAACACCTGACCCGACGCAGCTACCTGGCCAGACACAGGGACAGGAGGAGACCCAGTGGTCAGGGTGTACAAGCTCGAACCCGGCCGACGCGTAAACGTGGCCAGGTGCCGGCGTGTGCGAGCGTCCGAGCAGTGGGTCACCCGCTGACACGCAGGAGTAAACTGGTGAACCCCCGCATCCTGTAGGTCAGCACCACTCACCAAGTTCGTAGAGAACGAGGGGAGGTAAAGACCAGACAAGGTGCCAGAGGGGGCAGCCGGACAGGGAGGACAGTGGAGAAGTGAGAGAGGACAGGACCCCCAGAGGGGTCTGCCAGGGAGACTGCAACCGGCCGACCAAGCGGCGTGAGTGTGGTGCGGTCTCGAAAGAAGGAGCGAGAAGCCCCTGAGTCAAGTGTGAAGGTGAGGGAGGCCGAAGCCGACGCGGTACCTGAGAGCGCAGACTCACCAGCACCTGAGGGCGCAGAAGCACTGGCACCTAGAGCAGCAGCCTCACCAGCACCTAGAGCAGCAGTACCAATGTCTGGGTCGGGTGGGAACACCGGTAACAGTCACCCTCATCACTAATAGTCACAGCATACATGGCAGCAAGGGTAGCATCAAAGTCAAGATCATAGATAGCTACACCTGCCCTAGACAACTCTCCCCAGCGGGGGATCTCACTGGCCTCCGGGAACTGCTGACGTCAAGTGTCCGTCAGGCAGCCAAAGCAGCGCTGGGTGGGGTGGGCACCCCTACACTGCTCACCCGCGTGGTCGCCGGAGCGAAGGACGTAGGTGCACGGACCAAAACTCCCACCACGCTGACGCTGCGTGTACCACTTACGGAGCTGCTGAGGGGAGGGGGATGTTCCGAGAACGCTGCTGCTGCTGCTGTCGCTGGCGCTGACCACCACCGGAGCCGCTCCGCTGTGAAGCGCCACCCTGACCAGCTCCACCTCCTCCACCACCGCCTCCTCCACCTCCGCCACCACCGCTGCCTCCGCTCCCACCGCTACCGCCACCGCCGCCTCCGCCTCCACCGCTGCCGCCGACACCTCCACCCCCGCCACCACTCCCACCGCCACCCCCACTCCCTCCGCCGCCTCCACCGCCACCCCCACCACCCCCGATAGCTCCACTCGCGCCCTTGCCCCCCTTGCCCTTGCAAGAGCGGCGTCTCCCGCTAGGGGCAGGCGCCGCACCGGCCGACTCAAGACCAACGAGGTCGGCCGCAGCGGCAAAGGCTACAGAGGGCGGAAGGGGGGAAGGGGAACACCCCTCGAAGATGGGGGTGCGAGGGTCACCACGAGAGGCTCCTAAAGCGACTATGCTCTTTGCCGCTGCTAGGAGGGCCTTCTCTAGGAGGTCAACAGTGAGAGTGGTGGGACAGACTGAGAGGAAGTGGTCCCTGACTACACGAAGGGAGTCAGGGAGGCGGGTGACTATATAATAGAGAGTGATGTACATGGGGGGGAGGTGTTCTTGGCGCACAAATCAGCAGGAAGCGCGGCGCGGTAGCGAGTGGCACTAGTGCGGAGGTGCGTAATGAGGTCAGCGACTGTGGGAAAGGCAGCAAGGTCAGGGAAGAGGTACGGTAGCATGAGGCGGCTCAGTGCAGCAGTGGCAGGGGAAGAGTAGCGCGCAACTACAGCGTCGTACAAGGTCTGAGCACTCTTGTACTGACTAAAGTGCGCGCGCTAAGTGGTAGGCAGGTGGCGACGCATAGCAAGACGTGCAGCAGCATCGCGCGTGGCCCACTGGGAGTGAACAGTTGGGTCAGCATTAGCAGCAGGGGCAAGAGAGGCGCTAGAGGTGAGGTCAAAGAGAGAGAGACCGTCTTCCCTATCGCACTGTAAGAACAGCTGCAGGTTGTCGACCCAGACCTCAAAGTCAATGGCTCGACCCTCAACGTCAAAAGCGAGGACACTAGGGGTAGCCAAGACAATAGTAGACCAGCAGTGCAAGGAGTAGGGGAAGGGCAGTGCGGTGACAGAGGGGCTGTGCTCACCGGACAGGGCTGCTCGGGCGGCTCGGCGGTAGGGCGGCTCGGCAGCTCGGCTGCTGGGCGGCTCGGCTGGTCGGCGGCTCGGCTGCAGTGCGGCTCGGCTGCAGGGCGGCTTGGCGCCTCGACGGCTCGGCTGCTCTGCTGCTTGGCGGCTCGGTTGTGCTGCTGCAGGGCGGCGCAGCGGTCGGCGGCTCGGCTGGGTGAGGCGGCTCAGGCAGCGGGCGGCGCTGCAGTAGCTGAGGGGGGCTGGGCCGCAAGTGAGGGCGGCGACGGGCCGCAGGTGAGGGCGGCGACGGGGCCGCAACCGAGGGCGACGACGGGGCCGCAGGTGAGGGCGGCGACGGGCCGCAGGTGAGAGCGGCGACGGGGCTGTAGCTGAGGGCGGCGACGGGGCCGCAAGCGAGGGCGGCAGGGCCGCAAGCGAGGGCGGCGGGGCCGCAAGGGAGGGCGGCGGTGCCGCAGGTGAGGGCGGCGACGGGCCGCAGGTGAGGGCGGCGACGGGGCTGCAGATGAGGGCGTTGATGGGGCCGCAAGCGAGGACGGCGGGGCCGCAAGTGAGGGCGGCACGGCCGCAAGGGAGGGCAGCGACGGGCCGCAGGTGAGGGCGGCGACGGGGCCGCAACTGAGGGCGGCGACGAGCCGCAAGTGAGGGCGACGAGGCCGCAACTTAGGGCGGCGGGGCCGCAAGGGAGGGCGGCGACGGGCCGTGAAGGGCGGCGACGGGCCGAGTGAGGGCCGCGACGGGCTGTAAGGGCGGCGCAAGGGAGGCCGCTAGGGGCGACAGACGGGGCCGCTAGGGCTGCTCGACGAGGGCAGAGAGGGTAGTGCGACTCGAGGAGCGCGCTCCGGGCAGGAAAAAAAAATCTCGATGTGGTGGGCCCTAGGCACAGTTCCCACGAGGGAACCTGCTCGATACCATGAGAAAGTTAGAACGAGAATGAAGTGACTAAGTGAAAGTTGGGTACAAATACAACCCTAGAAAGCTGTACCCCATATGTGCTACCCCACTATAGCCTACAACAGCTATGTCATATAAATCTGACAGAGTGTTGGAAACATATAGTTCGAGCACTACAACGAAAGCGAAGCGAACTAAAGCAAAGCTATAGCGAGTCAACCAAAGCGGTTGACAGAATGACAGCAGCAAGAGGTTGAGTGAAGGTCAGTGACCTTTGACTCGCCGAAGGCAGCACGACAGCAAGGAGACGTAACTGACTCGATACTGTGCAGTTACCCGAGTCGTCGCTGTATCAAACCGCAACAGCAGTTACAGCTAGTTAAACCTTTCGTATTCCTTGTAATCATATAAAAGCTTGTATCTCTTTGTTAATATCAACTTATCTTGTTCTCACATACCAGTGCAAGGTGGTTCAACCAGTTCACTAATACGCTTCCGCTAAAACATCACTACTCTGAGCCTTTAGTCTTGAAAAACGATCCTAAGGGCTTTTCTCAGCCCAACACATATCAGGGCTAATTCTATCAGTGTGAATCACCTTGATACCCTAATTATCAAGCTGAAATTTGATAGTCACACTTTTGCCTTAGGGTTTTTTTTTTTTTTAATCCTTGTTTTCCCCGATATGTCAGGGTTTCCGTTTTAGGGACACTTTGGCCTTAGTGTACTGGTTCTTCTTAGTGAGTTTTACCTTGACGCGAGGCATATGGGCCCCTCCTCCCCCCCCCCCCAAAGGGCATATGCGCATATGGGCCTTTGGCACAGGAGGATGGCGAACAAGGTCGGTGCATAGCTAAGCCACTCACCTTGGTCAGTGAGCAAGAAGTTCAGCCAGCGGAGCTCTAGAGCAGCCATGGCACCTATGTAGATCTCTGCCCACAGCTGGACTGTGCAAGCAGATGACGCTCGTGTCGACCTCCACTACACAACTTCATAGCCCAGTCGGAAACAGTGACCATATGTAGACCTGCAGGACTCCACCTCGTCTGTCCACGACAAGTGAGTGTGCCCAGTAAGTCCCACTAGTTATCTCCCTCCAAGCACAAGCCTTATGCCTGTTGTGGTCACCAGGTACTTTGCTACCATCTTAGCGCTGCTTGCTTCACGACGGCCTCCTCAACCTCCCCCCCCACTCCTCAAATTCCTCCCCCTCCCTACAGAGCGGCAAAAGGCGGCTAGACAAGAGAGGAAGGCGAAGGGCAGCAGAACACGGGCTGCAGGGCACAAGCGGCAGGACAAGGAGCGGAGAGAGGAAAGGGAGAAATGGATGGCGGAGTAGGCGGCTGGTGCTGTATGCTGATTCCGTCACCCCCTCAGCCTTCCCCCCTCAGCAGCAGGCGTGGCAATGAGAGAGAGGAGCAAAGGGAGGGGCAGGGTTCAAGGGAGTTTAAGTACCCCCACAGCCGCAACCGTCATCCCCGCCACCTCCCTCCCACAGCAAACGGCGTGGCGACGGCGACGAGGCAGCTAGGGCACTTGTGCAAGTGCCGCCCGTCATCCACCCCCGCCGCCTTCCCCAAGAGTAGCTTCCGCAGCATGCCGTGCAACGAACATGCAGGTGCGGCAGCAAGCAGGGAGCGACATGGTAACGAGCGGACGAGGTGACAAGCACAAACACCAGTGGCGGTAGTGTGGGCGACGGGATGTGCGGGGCCATTGGGAGGCCGAGATGTCGCTATTACGAGGGTCACGATGAGGCCAGCGACACCCTTGTGGCCTCCCTATAGATTAGCCGTCGCGACGAGCGCATCAACGGGTGGAATTGGGGATGCAGCGAGCGCCATTAGGAAAGCGCCATGCGGTGGGCCCATAATCGAAGAAAAAACAAACGACCCTAATCACTCCACAACTCACCCTCATGCCCTCATCGCTGCCTACTTAGTCACCACTCTCGACCTGCACTTTGACGCCGCCTTCGTTGGGTGCCGGCCGGAGAGAGACGGATGCACCATCCACATCAGTTTGGGAAGGGTGGTCGCGTGCCTAGGAGGAGAACCTCCAAGAGGACCATCCCGAACTCGCCAACCGCGTGGCGTCTCCTAGCATCAGCTTCTCATGCCTCTAGCGTATCCTCTACCACTCCAGTTTCCACCACGGTAGGCATCGTGGTCGGGCACAAGCTGCCGGCCTAACATCTCAGAACAATGATGCATGGGCTGCCGGGCTACCGGCCTAACAATAGGTAAGTGGTAAGTCAGCTACTAATCTAAAGGTATCTTGCGGGGCCGTCCACGCTCACCGCACCATGCGGAGAGTCACTCTACACCAAGAGTTGGGACTATGGTGGAAACCTCGGGTGGTATGAGTGATCATAGCGTTCCTTCTATTCTCTCACTTGCATATTCGCGGGCCAAAACTGTAAGGATCTAGGATCGATCTCAGAAAAGAGAATTGTAATTGATTGATTCACCTAGGTACAACACGAGGCTATATATAGGCTCGACACAAGGCAGGTAACCCGGGTGTTACGCGAATGTTCTGAGGGTCGCGAAGCGTCCTGAACAGAACCTTCCCGAACTCAGTAGAAAGCAACTCGGTGGAAACCGAATAGGCTTGAGTTCGGTACACGTAACCTGGTCCGGTGCTAAAACTATAATAAAATATAGGAATGCACCTAACCTAGGAAATCAAGCATATCTATGCATGAAATTAAACGCAAGCTATATATAGCATAATAAAGTCTAGGCAAGCTAGCAAAGCTAGCATAAGCTGTCGTACTCTCACACGTCCCCCCCTCAAAGATGGGTGGCGTGAGATACATCCTACTTGACAAGATAGGCCTTGAGAGCATGGCGTGCATTGCCCATATCAGCATCTGCAACCCAACTGTCCTCAGGAACAGGAACTCGAGGGTCAGGAATTTGGGGTCTCTGTCTGAGATGAGTGTAGCGGGGATGCCGTGGATGGTGATGATGCAGTCAAAGAAGAGGCGAGCAGTTGCTTCAGCTATAGCTGTGGCGTTGGTCGGGATGAAGTGACCCATTTCGTAAGGTCGAAGGAAGTCCCGTGATGAAGTCGAGGTGAACAACTTGCCATGGCTGCTCCGGTCCGGGTAGAGGCTGAAGTAACCCTGTTATTTCTGCTTGCTGCTCTTCATCCGCAGGCACGTGTCGCAAGAGGTGACGAACTGCTGCACGCCTGCTACCAATAGTAATACTTTGCTATCCCTGCTAACGTCTTGTTGCTCCCGAAATGTCTCGCGTAGGGTACGTCATGAAACTCCTCCAATAGGATCTGCCGTAGCGGGGCATAATTCGGTACCCAAATTTTTCCTGAACCCTTCCTTACAGCTAAGTCTTTCTCCCACTGTAACAGCTTCTTAGTTTGTGCTTTAGCGATCTCTGCGTCCACGGAGTACCCATGCTGGAATAGACCATTGAGCAGAGGGTTCATCCCGTCGAGCTGAATGCCTGCTACATGACTGGGGCGGCTCAACGCGTCTGCTTTGTTGTGTAGCCCGGGCTTGTAGACGATGTCGTAGTGGAAGTGAGTTTCCAAGAAGTCCACCGACCGCACCTGTCGTCATGAGGGCGTAGGCTGCGGCTTCAGGTATTTGAGAATGCAGTGGTCAGTATAGAAGGCTACGACTATGGCTAAGGCTTCCTTGTCGTGTATGGGGTAGTTGAGTTCTACTCCATGTGGCTTCTTACTGAGGTAGGCGAAAGGCTGTAAACCGTTCCCGTTATCTTGCATCAGTACTGCTCCGACTGTCTGGTTACTAGCGTCTGCATCAACTACGTAGTCCTTGTCTGGATCTGGTA